ACATATATGTTAATTATTTCATGAATTAAGGACATGGATGATCCAAATACCTGGAAAGATACACAATCATAATAAACGTTTAACTTAGTATTATACAACCATGGAATTTTAAAATAAGCCTCATTGAATCATGTATTTGGATCCATTTAGTTTACTTTGGACTAGTAGAGCACTCATTCTATTTGGGAAGTCACGTGATGTGGTTAAAAGAAATCCCTGTGTATACATTTGTTTGTTTATTGTAATTACGGAGTCAGGAACGAGAAGAAGGATTTCTTGGTCATCACAGAAACATTGTGAGAAAAGATCTCAGATGCTGGCTTTGGTGTGTGCGGGGTGCAAAACGCATTCCCATAGTCTCCAAAATTATAAGAAGCCTATGTTTGTGACCTCTCCTCAACGGAACATTACTTAGTTATATTACCCAAAAGAGCAAAAGGAAGGATTGTAAAGGAAGCTGTTGAGACACACACACACACACACACACACACACACACACAAAGTTATTCAGAGCGAGTCAGGCTTAGGGCAGCAACAGAGAAGCCTGTGGAGTCAGATTTTGCCTGTAAGTATTTCAGGTGCACATTCTTAAAATGCAGGCTCCTTGCAGCTTTAGTGGCAGACAACAGTGAAGCAGGAAGGACAGGTTAGTGGCTGGGAGGTGGGACCAGAAGCCCTGCCTGAGTGACAGAGGAAGGACCAATGGGAAGCCCTGGAAAATGCGAAAGGCCTGATGAGGAAGCCAGGCTCTGCCCCCTAGGCTCCCCTGGTTACCATGGTGATGGAACAGCTGGGAACTGGCTGTGGCTGCTGCAGCTGCCTGGGTCCCAAGGTCAGGGGTCAGCTCTCTCCTCCTTAATGGGCTGTTTCCCTGTGTCTTCCCCTCGCCCCTGTTGTTCTCCCATCTTTTACATTTTCCCTTTCCAGAGCGTGGGCACTTTAAAACAGTGATTTAAAGGCAGAGGCCAGCATTAATGTCCGACCCTAAGGCAGTCTGCCTTCGGCCCCCTGGTCAGGTTTCTTAAGGGTCAAAAGCACAGCTGGGTGGGGCTAGTTAAGACCTTTTAGGGAGCAGCAGCTGGTCCTGTGTCCTGCAGCTGAGTTAATTAAAGCTGTTCCGACCCCAGTGGGACAAGAATGCAGGGAAGAGGCTCAGTACAAATTGTTTGAGCACATTCGAAAAAAATAGCAGAAAAACACAATTTGCCTCTCTACCAGCAGAAAATCCCCTGTATCAAGTCGCTCCACGGAAAATGTTTCCTTTTTCCTCTTACCCTCCAAACATTGACTCCTAGAATATAGATTCCAAGAAATCTTTATGTTGCGAGGGGGCAAAATTGTGACATATGCATTCGAGGGGAGAAATAAAGAATGTCTACGGGCTTCTGCCCCTTCCAGTGCTTTATTCACTCAAGTTCCTCCATACAGTTTCACTCTACAGGTTCTTAATCAAGAAAACACAATCCTTAATGCTGGGCACTGCAATAGACATAATCAATCTACAGCGAACAATTCTAGATGCATTCTAAGCACTGCCAAACACACCTAATCAGGGCAGGCTAGTGGCAGACATTCCCTCTGCAGGCTAAGTTCAAAGCTCTTAAGTCCTAGGCTTTGAGTCCAGCAGATGCACACTCACTCAGACCGTGGTGATCAGGTCCCGAACCAAGGTAGGCTTTCCCTAGTGTGGAGCGGATGACCAGTTGAGGAGGGGGCTGTAGGGAGGAGTTGGGGCTCTCACCAAGGTCCAGATGAGGCGGTAGAGTGTGAGAGCAGTGAGGATCATGCAGAGAATCAGGAATGAGGACAAGTGATGGGATGTCGGGTCCTCAGCAGGCTCTCCAGCTCTAGTGCATCCTTGTTTCAGCTGGCTGAATCCCTGATCGTCAGCTCTATCATTTATACTAAATTTGGGGGCTTTTGACCCCGCTTTCAATCCCTACCAGCCAACACTGGGTTTCTCAGTGATGTTATTTACCCTGAGGTCAGAAACTTGTGGTCTGGTGGCCTCCACCCTGATCTTCTCCCTTTCCCTCTTATCAGGCAAGGACGGCCTGCCAGAGGCTTCACCCTCTTATTCAGGGTGAGGGGAGGGAACTTGTTTGAGGCCTTACTGGAGGAATCTGTGGATGTGTCTAGTGAAACTGCAGGTTAAACTGAAGTTTTTAAAGTGGAGTTGCTTAGGTCAGGCCTAAGGCCATCCTGACACTTTACCTAATACTTTAAAATAAAAAAATACACAAAAAGAATGAAAACTTTTCAGAAAAGCAATTTTCCCATAGGAGAGCACCTAACTTAGTAACATATCCCATGAATCACCTTCATAATTCTTTATATTTACTTATGGTTTCTAGAATTGAAAAAATATTTTTTGTTTTTCTTTCTATAGACGAAAAATTCCCAGATCTTATGAGTTTAACATCACAACTTCTTCTTCTGTCCAATTCACTTACTTTCTACAATTCAACCCACAACACTCTGGAATCCTAAGTGCACTTACTTCTGGAGAGAAATTCCGAACTCACTAAATTTCTACAATTTACACTGAAGTTTAAGTACAGGAGGCCACTTGTCCCGAGATAGGACTAAACCAGTCAGGGTCACTCCAGGTGAACTGGGCTGCATGACATTGTCACACAGAGACAGAGAAGTGTCTTTTCCTTTGGGTTTTGTGATGGCTCCCTCATCCAGCTCCCCCAAAGGAGGCAAGGCAGGCAAGAAAGAGAGAGGGCAGGCCTGGAGCCCCATTTTACTGGGGAGAAGCCACTCAAATGAGGATAGGGTCAGGATTCAGGGGGTGGAGTCTTCCTGATGTCTGCTGCCAGTAGGTTGACATCCTGGAAGGCCACGCCCATCTCATGTGCTGTGTGGGGATCAAGGGCAGAGCAAGGGAAGGGGACACACAAGGGGAGGTTCCATGGAACATTCTATCCCAAAAGGGCACAGAGTAGGATTCCAAAGGAACAGGTGGGTGTAACCGACCCCACTGGGTGACGCCTACTCCTGGAGCCACACCTCATTATCTGAATGGGGGTGAGGCCCAGTGTGTTGTGGGGCGCAGCAGCTGTTCCATACTCCCCTACACAGGACTTCACGTGACTCCCGACAGCACAATTCACAGCTCAGGGTGGACTCGGGGCCAGCTGCCCCGCGTGTGGTGGTCAGGGCACCCCAGGAGGCTGTCTCCTGCGCAGTCAGCACAATGCAATGGCTTCTCTTGGTAAAGCTGTGGGAGGAACGGGAGGCAGTCAGTGTCCGGGTCCAGCAGTGCTCACGGGTCCCACTGTCCCATGGTCTACAGAAGCAAGAATTGCTGCTTCCCCCCTGTCCAAGCTCTGGGGTGGGCACGTCACAGGTTTAATTGGTGTTATTTGAAGTTGTCCCCCTCAGACTCAGAGTCTGAGCCATGACCTAATGGAGCACAGCTCCACGACCATGGTTTACATCATGAGTTGGAAATTGTGACGTTTTGGCAAAAGTAATGGTGAATGTGTTGTCACAGAAATTGTCTCATGTCCGTGTTCTCTTTAGCTTGATTTCATGGGAGGTTTTGCATATTTCATCTGACAAGGGAGCAATCTGGGTGCTGGGTGGAGAGGGTGAGGGGCTCCCTAGGGCTGAGGACCCAGGATGCTCCTCTGAGCACATCCCTGCATCCTCCAGGGGAAGTTTGATGGCAGGGTGCCTTTTGTCTGGGGTGTCCTGGGTCCCTTCCTCTCCACTGTGAGGAGAGGGTCCCGGGGTCAGGACTGTTGGGCTCCCAGGAGCCTGGGTTTCCTGTTGGGAGTCAGAAGCCTGAGCAGGGACCTCCACACAGGGGCCAGGGCTTAGGATCCTGCCCCATTGCTCAAGTGAGGAGAAGGACACGGTTCCCGCCACAGGGGTGGCTGAGGGCGGGGCACAGCGCCAGGCTCCCCGAGTTCCTCTCCTGCAGGGAAGCTGCTGCTGCAGTTTTGCTTTGGTTTTTATTTCTCTCCTTTGCAAGTGGCACCTTGCATGGTCTCTGTTTCTGGAAATGTTGATATTTTTTCACTTTTTACATGAGATTTGTGTGTATTTTATAGTAGTAAATGATAAAGTATCATAATGACAGCGTAGATTTATGCATTCATGGCATTCTAAATTCTTGATAAAGATTGAATATGTAGGGTGGGGCAGTGGCTCCATGGTGGAGTGCTGGCCTAGCATGCAGGAGCCACTATGTTCGATTCTCAGCACCACACAACTATGAAATAAAGACCTTGTGTCCACCTAAAAAACTAAAAAAATAAATATTTTTTTAAAGACTGAATATTTAGTTACATGTTTTGTCTTTTAGTTTATCAAATGCTTGCAAATCTCTAAGCTTGTTTTATATACTGAAGCAGATTTCTGTATGAGTTGCCCTTGTACTTCAACCCCGTGATGTTCAAGGATCAGCTGCACATGGTGTTTCCTAAATCCTATCAGGGGGTTGTTTGGGGTGTTCTTTGTGCCTCTGACGTTCTGACAGAAGCTCAGGAACTTGTGTAGCTGGAGGAAGCAAAGGATGGAGCTCGCAGGTGTGTGTCCTCCTGTTCTGCAGTAACAATGAATCCGGGTGGATAAGGGTGAAGATGGCAGCCACATTTCCTGGGTGCAGACCAGCTCTGCCCCTCCACGTGGGACATTCACTTCACACAGGTGTCTCCGTTTCCTTTCTATAACTTGGGATAATAATAATAATCCCAGCAGAGCCTGCACAGCACAGATAGAGGTTATGTGAGTCAGGAAACAAGTCCTCACGGTGCTGCTTTAAGCCTGGCTCGGAGCCCGCACTGCAGCAGTCCTTGCCGCTTCTGCTGTTGACACCTCTCCTCAGGAGCCATAGAGATGGATGGGACCAATGGCAGCACCCAGGGCCTCCTTATCCTCCTGGGATTCTCCAATTTCCCCAATGTGAAGAGGGTCCTCTTTGTGGTCCTCCTGGTAGCCCACCTGCTGACCCTGCTGGGCCACACTCCATCCTCCTGGTGTCGCAGCTGGACCCCACCTCCACACGCCCGAGTACTCCTTACCCCCTTCGTCCTTCCTGGACCTCAGCTTCACCCCCAGCTCCATCCCCAGCTGCTGCACAACCTACGCGTCCACGACAAGACCATCAGCTCTTCAGGGGCACAGTCCAGCTCTTCCTGTTCCTGGGCCTGGTGGAGTGGAGGGACTGCTGCTGAGTGTCATGGCCTATGACACGTTAGTGGCTATCTGGAAGCCCCTGCCCTACACCGTGATCATGACTTCCAGGCTGTGGTGCCGTCAATTCCTTGGTCATGTGTCAGTGACCCTATGGTTACACTGCTGTGCGCACAAGAAGAAGGGTCACTTCCTGTGTGAGATACCTATCCTGATCCGTGTGGCCTGTGTCAGCATGGGGGCTATGGAGGGCACTGTCCTTGTCCTGGATGTGGGCATCATGCTGTTTCCCGTGGTCTTCCTCCTGGTCTCCTGGGGTCACATCGTCAGTGCTGTGCTCAGAATGCAGTGGTCCTCAGGAAGACCCAGTCTTCAACACCTGCGGCCCCCTCACCCTGGGCTCCCTGTCCTACGGGAACATCATGTTCAAGTACATGCAGCCAGGAGCCGCTGCTCCCGGGACCAGGGTGAGGTCCTCATGCTCTTCCACAACCCGTTACCCCCTCCTCAAGCCTCATCTCCACCCTCAGAAACAGGGAGGTGAGAAGGCTGATGCTGGGGAACAGAAAAGGGGACAAGGAGGGAGGGCCCAGGGAGTGGCCAGCACCCAGCCTCAGGGTCAGCTCCATAAGGGCCACTGCTGTCCTCTGAGCCGTGGGGCAGGTGAGGTGTCCGCCTGCAGCTCTCAGCACCCTTGCAGGGCTGGCCTCTGGGCGCCTGATTAAGGCCAGCGCTGTGGGTTTATAGCAGCACAGGGCCTGTCCCCACACCCGGATGTGCAGCCCTGACCCTGCAGGCTGGTTCCAGGGCCACCGCCGCCCCCCGGGTCCTGCTTCTGTAGTTTGCTGAGTTCACAGTGGTGCTCTCGGCGTTTTAGCTGCAACCTCCCAGCTCTCTCAGGGCTCTTGGTGTGAACCACTGTGTCTTCCTGGGTGGCGTCAAAGCTGAGTTCAGCATGGCCGCGTATTTCCCTTTCATAGGCTCGCAAGGAAGCGTGTTGTCTTTTTCTGCCCTCTGTTAGGAGACAGACAAATGAATGGTGGGAGCACAAGGTTAAGAGAGTAACTATAAATGTGGCCCAGTGGGCAGACCCCACGTGCTTCATTTGCCAAAAAGCAATGTCTCTGCAGGCCTGCCTGCAGGAAGTGGACAGGGTCTGTCCCATTCCCCAGCAAACCACCTGTTGTCTGCATGGAAATGCAGGTCGGAATTAGTATGCGTGAGAGGAACCCAAGAGAGTATGAAGGGCCTGACTTTTGTGACCCTTTTGCCAGAGCAGATTCTGAAACATAAGGATGATTCCTCCTAACCATAAAACTTGTAGCAATGTGTAGTTAAGAATGCAATTAGCACTGCTCAGCCCGGGGGCCTGATGGCTTGGAAATGACCAGGCCACCAGACAGACCCAGGCCATGGTCTCCAGAAACCCACTCCAAGAGGCCAGAGAGCCTTTGGAAGGTCTGTGGAGGTTAAGAGATGAAAGTTGATGGAGAGGAACTCAGCCTGCCACCAACACAGCCCCGTCGCAGCGCCCTGCCGGTTGGTACCCACAGTCATTGGGTGCCCTGAAGGAGGGAAAGAAGGCAGTACAGGGGATGGGCCCTGGGGGCCATCTGCAGAGCAAGTGCTCAAATCACTCACTCTTGAACTTAATGCCCTGCAGACTGGAGAGACCTCGCCAGAGCGGCTCCTGAGCCCACAGCATTTTTGAAGTGGAAGGCCTTCTTCCATGACAAACGTGAACAGCAGGGGATCCTCACCCCACCACAAATGTTGCCCCCCCAGCTGAGTGCTTGTCGGGAGGGGGGATCTACTCTTCTCCTGGTGCAAGCCACAGGCCCACCAGGTTATGTCAATCTGGTGCACTCTCTGCTTTAAGAATGTGCTAGAAGGAACCAGTTGGGGGAGGTACAGTGGATACACAGGGCCTAAGGCAAAAATTCACTGAGGACTTGCCACAGTTTATCGACAGGGTGAACAAGGCTTGAAAGGAAAAGTGTCTCATGGAAAAGCAAGGGAAGCCACAGCCAAGGAGGTGATCAGGGAGGGACTAAACAAGGGACAGAGAGCAGCAGGTGCCAGCACAAAGCAGTCCAGTGGATGACTGGATTTGGCCACCCAGGATACAGGGACACAAGGGGCTCAAGCCTCTCTGCTGGCCTCAGCCTTGGCCACTGAGGAAAGCAGGAATAAGGTAGCTATAGAGGAAGAGGCCGCTCCACTTGCTGGGGGTGTGCAGGGACAGGACAGTTCTGGCGAGAATGCCCAGAGCCTCTGCAAATTATTTCCTGAACTGACCAAGGAGGCTTGCAAGCAGCTAGTCAAGACCACAAAAATATGCCCCTTTCCTTCCTGTTGTCGCTTAACAACCTGCTGGAGTAAGTCCCCAAGGTTAAAATCTAATGCCTTAGGGCAAGTAGATGTCACTCACTATGTACCTTCAGGAAATTAAAATATGTGTATGTGGTCACTGGTACCTGTTCAGGCTGTGGGATGGCCATCCCCATAACTTAAGTGCTTGGGGATCATGGCAGCTCCTTTCTCCATCAAAACTGGCACTGCTCCAGCCTAGGCAAGCAGAGCCTGCAAGGAATTCTGCTCTACATGGCACAGAAATCATGTCACTGAGATCCCCTGTAACCCTCAGGTTTAATGCATTGTAGACAGAACACGCAAGGAATTAATGACCACGCTACAAAAATGGGGCAGGGGGAGGGAGGGGGCTCTACCAAATGCCCTCACAATGCCTTGAACAAAATCTTATTTACTTCAAATTTTTTTTCAACTTCGAAATTTTCCATGAAAATAGCCACCCACAAACATAGGTCCCCTTCACTGTGCCCTGCCACTTACCTATAATCTCCCAGCTGGATCCCAGCACAAGTGCATGATGGTCTAGCGTCCCTCCTAAAACTGGGTCCAGGGTTTGTACATGACAGAAGCCTCACCCCATCTGGGTGCCTGCAGTGAAACTGCCTGCCACGTAAATTGGGCTTTGGTCCCTTGGCCACCAAATTAGCGGTGGTCAATTGGGAAGGAGCCCTATCTAAGCTCTTTTCTAATAACTCTGACCTGATTGATCCTGAGGTAGCTGTTCAAGGACCACCCGAGCAGGGGAACACCAGCACTCCCACGCCTGCTCGGCCGAGTGCTTTCTCCGTCGTTGATAATGAGACCTACAACGAGGACCGTCCTCTCTGTTTTGCTCTTGCTAATGAAACTTTTGTAGATCAATATAACAAGTCCTCTGCTGGCTGTCTCTCACTGACACTTGGTAGTTAACGCTACCAATTGCCATAGACTATCCCCCCATGGCAAGTGCAAGAAACTCTTCCTGCCAACATGCCCACAACACTCTATAGAAAGCCAATTCTGATAATGACAGCACCCCATGGAATCGATGTGTGGCAGCCACACCTTGTCTCCTAGGTAAGAGAAATTTCTTTGGGGAAAATCAACACCTAAGTGCCGGGTTGGGCACAGCTCCCTGGAATGTAACCCATGTGCCTCAAAACCATGTGGGCTACTGCAGTAACTGCTCCCTGGGATGATCTGTGATCAACCACAATGCAGGAAATCAATATGGCACGATGGATATCAGGCCAATATTGCTGGCCACTAGACCCTTCAAATGGGTGGCAGCTGGCTGGATGAATGAGTGGATAATGGGCCCTAAACCCAACATATACCTTCATCCCAAATTATACCCATACTCACTGTGCACAAGCTTGTGTCCCGCCACCCTTGCCATGCTCATAATCACTGCCTCTGATGGTGTAAATATCACTCATGCAGAGATCCCTTGTGCAGTCAATGCATCCTGCTGGCTCCCAACCTGTCTACACCGGCTATGAAAGCTAAATGTGTATTGATCCTCAGATGCCCCCCGCAGCCTGGCTTCCAGTGAACCAGTCCAAAGAGTGGAGGAGTCCATGGGACATGCAGAGGAAGCATCCTCTGAGTGAGATCCTGCACCGGACAAGGCGTGATATTGGCCTCATCATTGCTGAAATTGTTGCCCTAGTGGCCACCATCGCCACCACAGCCACTGCCACTGCTGCGCTCACTCAGGGGATTCACACTGCACACTGGAAACAATGTGTCCCCTGTGTGGCAGCAGCCTTCGCCTCTCAAAATGACTTAAATAAACTGAACTGAACCACTATTTGCCTCATTCAGCAAGAACCAGACCTCCCCCAGTGTCGGAGACCAGCTCCAACAGGGCGTCTCAGGAGACGAATGGATGGTGAGGAGTCGGCAAAAG